CCACGGCCCTTCCCATCGTCAAGATCCGGTTTGCGGGCTTCACAGAGATGTCGTAGCGGTCCAGAGTGATGGCGAAGACGTTGATGGCGGTGGACACGCTGGCGAAGGACACGCAGGCCTCGTGGAAGCAGCAGACCAGCGCAGAATTGTTCTCCAGGGGGAGCAGAAGGATGACGATGGTCAGAGGAATGCACCCCATGCAGATGATGACGTCGAGAACGTGGAGGTTCATGGTAATAATATTACTGACCGAGTTGATTAAATTGGATTTCAAACAGTAAAGTACTAATACGGTGAGGTTGCTGCCGAGCCCCAGGACAATTTCCAGCATCAGGAATCCGGTGAGGGAAACTTGAAAGCTCAGCGGGTAAGACAGTGGCTGGTACATATTGGAGTCTGTGTCCCTGATGGCATCTCGAACAGTAATGTTAGATTCAGACGGCATGTTGGCTTCTGGGATGGAAGAGAAACACATCCTTTCTCGGAAGTTTCTTTTGCTCTGAAAGAAGAGAGAGAAGTTAGGAAGCGAATCGGTGTGGGATGCTCGCTCTCTTTCTCTCTTTTTATTTTGCTTGCCTGCAGAAAATAATTTCTTTAGTTTTTAAAATATAATTTCTTTATATTTTAGAATATATATATATGTATTCTAATGACAAAGACCGTGTTTGGGGTGCATATTAAAAGCATGCTTAGCTTTGAATGCCACGTTTAGTGAAGGTAGGTAGATAGGTAGATGGGTAGGCATGTAAGCAGGCAGAAAGGTAGCTAGATAGAGAGAGAGAAATAGGTGGGTAGGTGGATGGATGGACAGCTAGATAGAAAGAAGATGGACTGTGATTGGCAGACAGATGAATGTGTGTAGATAGATAGATAGATAGATAGATAGATAGATAGATAGATAGATAGATAGATAGATAGATAGATAGATAGATAGATAGACAGACAGACTGGCAGACAGATGAATGTGTGGAGAGAGAGAGAGAGAGAGAGAGAGAGAGAGAGAGAGAGATGGGTAGGTGGATGGATGGACAGATAAATAGATAGAAGATAGATGGACTGATTGGCAGACAGATGAATGTGTGTAGATAGATAGATAGATAGATAGATAGATAGATAGATAGATAGATAGATAGATAGATAGATAGATAGATAGATAGATAGATTAGGGACATGGGTAGGTGAGTGGATGGACAGTTAGATAGATAGAAGATAGATGGACTGATTGGCAGGCAGATGAATGTGTGTAGATAGATAGATAGATAGATAGATAGATAGATAGATAGATAGATAGATAGATAGATAGATAGATAGATAGACTGGCAGACAGATGAATGTGTGGAGAGAGAGAGAGAGAGAGAGAGAGAGAGATGGGTAGGTGGATGGATGGACAGCTAAATAGATAGAAGATAGATGGACTGATTGGCAGACAGATGAATGTGTGTAGATAGATAGATAGATAGATAGATAGATAGATAGATAGATAGATAGATAGATAGATAGATAGATAGATAGATAGATAGATAGATAGATAGAT